CTTATTTCTTGGAGGCGGCTCCGAATCGCCTTCCATGTACTTCCCAGTCATTGAATGCAAGCTTTTGGCTGTGCCGACATGCAGGATACCAACCGCACACACACAGAGCGCACCACACACGCATGCATGGATACGCCTGAGTGGAGACAGCTGGTATGAATCAACACAGCACTACAGAAACAGGGAGTCCATCCCCTGAATCCACCTGCGTCTCAGGGCAAGTACATGGTGGCTTTTGGTCCGCGATTTACCCCCTATCCGCCACCTGGGGTCGCGCCACGTAGCCTCGCCACCAACCGGCTCGAGATCTTTCAGTGAGAGAGGACCCTCAGTGAAAGAGATCCGTGGGCATACTTGTACGGGAGGTTATTGAATCTTTGGCACCGGGACACACTTCCGAATTAGGGACTTCCACTTGAGAACGAATCTGCGGTATCCAAAATTCTTGTCTTACCAGAGCTATTATATGATTTATCCCTGGGTGGCCCTTTTGATGGACGTCTTGAATTATCATTCTTGCTAAGGGGTTTTCTGCCCTATGAAAATTGGATATTTCGCACTGACCCCCAGCTGAGATTGACTTAGGCGTCCATAGCAGCGAAAAATGTTCTTTTCATCTGGACGTATATTGAGCTGCTGTAAGGACTGGATTAGGCTTTTGGAGACAACTTTTGCTTGATGATTCTTGATCAGGGCGTGTCCTGCCAATTCCATTTCCTTTCCAGGTTAAAAATTCTGAGTCCGGAACAGGCCTCCCTTCACCTAGTGCCAATTCAACTCCTCTCCCTCTGTGTTCGTTTACTTTCCGTACTACTTGAAGGAGAAAACGGATAACACAGGCTACGTTTCTTTTTGCCTTTGTTATTGTTTGAGCTTGATCAGGCCTCAAAATCTCACGCTCCCTTTGCTCTTCGTTTGGGGTCCGCCCTGCTAGCACTTCCTCAGACACTTCCCAATCTTTCATCGGGCTCTCCTCCTTGGGTAGTCAAAGATCGTTTTCCTGACTTCCCAATCCACTGGCTGCGATTGTAGAAACGGTGGTCCGTTCCACCAGAAATGGGATTCGAACTCATTCTTGGTCAACCCTCGTGTAGCACAGTCTGCTGGGTTATATTGTGAGGCTACGTAACCGATCCTGACGAAGCACTGGCTTTGAATAAGGTGGTGGGCGATTTTTCTAATTTCTACGAGACGATTATATACTAGGATCCATACTTCGCGCTCTGGTTTACTCTTGAGCCAGTTCAAGACAATTTCTGAATCGGTGAAAATATAATATATATCCCCTTTATATTGAGTGTGCCTGCGAGTTGCTCGTAAACCGAGTTCGACAAACGTATGGCCAGTGTTACTGCATTTAGCTCGAGCTTGGGGATTGTGTAGTGACTCTGCAAAGAGGGGAGCTTAGATTTGGCCATTATCAGGTGCGAACCCCTCGGATCCCATATGTAAGGTGCATGCGGCCATTGCTGCTGAGCTAGCGTCCGCGAAGGTAATGAGTAGCACTTCAGCTTGCTTTGGTGATAGATATCGGGTCATAG